CCCCTTGTTGGTAGGAGGACCAGTCAGGCATTTGGGGGATGCCCCTCTTTGGGAGGAGGACCAGTCAGGTGTTAGGGGGATGCCCCTCATTGGGAGGAGGACCATTCAGGCGTTTGGGGGGATGCCCCTCGTTGGGATTAGCATGATGTGGTTTCTCATGAGTGGACTGGGGTCAGGGGTTGTCGGGGGGAAGACCACACAGGGAAGTGTCCCTCTTATCCCATCCGGCCCAGGTGCCTACCGTCAACATGACTTGTCCCACTGCTCATGTTGGCCGTGGTCACCTGGCAGAGGTGTGTCTCTCTGGTGTCCCCACCCCACGTGGCTCCTTCCCTTTCCTGCCCTGTCCCCCGGGGAAGGGAGTCGCCACGCCCAGCCCACACCTAAGGAGTGGGGAGGTGCGCTCCACTCCCCGAGGTCGGAGCGGCTGAGCAGACACTGCGGGATTCTCCTTCGGAGGAGGAGATAAATACCGTTTCCGTATCAGCGCATGAGTGAATCATTTATGGATGTCCGTATGGACTCGTGGATATTTATTTTATACTGTGGGCTATAATCCAACAGGACTTCACTCTGTTGCTGGGACTGGTCCAGCTCTGGCCACCGGGAGCCCCTTCAGGTGGCTTCTGCGCTGGAGGGGGTCACACCAGGGGCTGACTCTTGAAAGCATGCAGACGGTACAGATGGCTCTGCTAATCAGTGTGTGTTGTCCCCCCCTCCTCTAGGCATGTCCTGGGGTTGGGGTGGGACAGGATGTGCTGTGGGGTTGGCCTTGTGGCCCTGGGCACCCGGACCTGAGTGCAAGGGTCTTCAGTCACCTACTGGGACACCCTGACCAAGGCCCTGGGCCCTTTTCCAAGCTCGTCCCACATCCGTGATGTGGCCTCACAGGGCGGTGGTCTCAGGGAGCCATCGGAACACGCCTTCCCGTGCTGTGTCCCTGGCCGTCTGGGTGGGCACAACACAGCACGGTTGTACACAGTGATGCTGCTCATCAGTGGAAGGTTAGAGTCTCTAGGAACTTGGCAGAAGAGCGTCAGGCGAAGGTCGCCTTGTCCTTTCTGCTGAGCTTTGTGCAGCTAAGCCACCAGGCCAGCCACCCCTTGGACCTCATGTGGTCCTGGTGACCTTGGCCACGTCTCGAGGCTGCTGCCACAGATACTCGGAGAGCCCCTGGGCAGCAGCCAGGGTCGGGGTGCTTCCTGCCGGCTCAGCCCTCCTGGATCTTATAGGCCAGCAGGTGCTGGGAATAGTGGGCTGGGAATAGCACCGTGGAACCCACTGGGCCGCCCTGGGTGGACTTTAGGGCTTCGCCCGCCGGGGCTCTGGATTTGGGCAAGAGTCCGTATTGTTTGGGGTTTCTTACACCCACTTGGTTTCCTTGGCCCCTGGGGCTGGGACATGCCATGTGGGCTCACTCCCATCAGCAGGTGAGTGACAGGGCTGGGCCCCACCGCGTGCAGGAGAGCAACAAAGCTGGGAGTTACCGGGGTGCACCTGCGCACTCACTTTCTTGGACTGCAGGCCCGCTAATGCAAGTTTGCCAGGAAAGCATTTGCCTGTTTGACGGGGAAACTGAGGCTTCAGGGTACAGTGGTTTTCCCAAGGTTCATCCCCGGTCAGCCAGTGTCCAGAGCCACTCCCTCCAGGGCTTTTGGGGCTGGGGTCACGTCTGCGGTACTTAAGCAGCAAGCAGGCTGTGGACTCTGAGCTGCACATCGTTCCTGGCCGGAGGTCTCAGCCCACCACTGACCCTGCTCTGCCTGCAGCCAGAACCAAGTGAGTCTCCGCCTTCCAGGGGCTCTCCACCTGAGAGACTTGAAGTCAAAGCCTGGGCCTGTCTAGACGGAGGTGACAGGACTGAGGGGTTGGCTATGCTCACCCAGACAGCCTGCCTTTGTCCACAGGACGGGAGCCTCCCCCTGGAAGCTGCTTACCAGGTCCTAGCCACGCCCTGAGGCTCCGTGCGCGCCCTGGCCACCCACCGTGCTGGGGGGTTTAAGCCACAAGAGACTGCACCTGGCCCCTGGGCACCGAGGGGACTCCCAGATGCGTCTACACGGGCACTGTTATCAGAGCTGGAAGGCCGTGGGTGGCCTCAGTGGATTTTGTTTTTATTTTTATTTTTTTTATCTTTTATTTATTATTTTTTTTAAGAGAGGGGAAGAGAGAGGGAATCTCAAGCAGACTTCCTGCCGAGTGCGGAGTCTGACGTGGGCCTCGATCTCACGACCCTGAGATCATGACCTGAACTGAAATCAAGAGTCAGATGATGCTTAACTGACTGAGCCACCCAGGCGCCCCAATTTTACCTTTTTATAGATGGGGGTGCAGGGGTGTTGGGGTGTGGAGGTTGGATCAGATCCAGGGCTTAGGCTCCCTGACCTGCCGGCACAGTGTCCTGGGCATGCCAGTCAGTTCTGCGAGGGGCCTGCTCTGGGGTGAACATGGAGGGTCAGCAGTGAGAGGAGCGGAGCTGCGGACACACGAGACAGGTCTTTCATTCATATTTTAACAGAAACCGTGAATAAAGGATGAGGTCTCCTGGTCCGGAGGCTAAATTTAGGCGTTGGCCTGGGCTCTGGTTTTCTCGCCCTTCCTGCTGCTGGCGTGTAGACACGCGTGCCTCTGGGGGACAGCTCCCCAGGCTACCGTGGGGCCCCACAGGGGAGCCTGTGCTGACTTGCTTCTCTGTCCCTCGCAGGGTGAGCAGCAGGCCCCGGCCCGCCGAGTTGAGCCGCATGAGCGCTGCGCAGAGGCTCGAGCTCCTGTGAGTAGGCCCTGCCACCAAAATGAGACTCCAGTGCGCCCACCTCCTTTCCTCCCACCTCACCCCAGTACCGTCTGGCCTCTGGCCGAGCGCCCCCGGCCCTGGCCCACTCGGGCACCGCGGACAGCTTGGCCAGTGGCGCCTCTCATGGGCATGAAGCAGCCGGTTGGTAGCCAGGCCGGGGAGCCCCTTTGCCCAGGCAGCGAGGGGAGCAGAAGCTGCCGGAACAAGACATGCCGGCTCTTAGGGGATCACTCTGGGAGCCCAGAGCCCGCTGCGCTCCCAGGCATCTTGCGTGTGGACCCCTGGCTTGGGCAGTCGGTCCAGGGGTTCAGTCTCCCTGCCAACAGCCAGGAAAGCCGGGCACCTCGCGGTTCGGCCTTGCCCTCTGTCACGCACACACAGGGCAGAGCACCAGCTCGGCTCCACTCCACCGCCCCTGGGCCGGGGCCGCTCCTGCTGCAGCACCTTCCCCAGCACGGTGCCACGGGTGCCACGGTGGCCCTGCCCGCACGTGTCCTGGAACCGCCGTCCCGAGCTTTCCTCCCTCTGGGGCGCCTCGCCAAGGCACCTGCAAACGTCCAGCTGGCCCCCGTGCTTCTGAGACGCGGCATGAGTGCCGGCTCCCCCGGGGCTGACTGGGCTTAGACACCCACGTGCAGAGAGTGGCAGCCACCGCTGTGGACTGGGGGCTCAGGTCCTCCCCCGGGAGGAGGCCCTCCAGCTCCCATCAGAGGCAGCCGCTGCCCCCTCTGTCGCCGGGGCACCCCGTTGCGGGCAGGGCCGGTCTCGGGCCCGTGGGGCGGCAGCGCTCGGTTTTGGCAGCGCTGGCGGGAGGGCGCCTCTTATGTAAGCCCGCGTGTCTGCCTCCCCACGTGTGTCCGCTTCTTCCTGCTTTGAATAGCAGCTCCGCATCAGAGTTGGGGATGGGGGGCCCAGAGCCCACTTTCTGGGGGAGGGCAGGGGTGCTAGTCCCCCAGACCCACGGGTGGGTCTGGTGGCTCCAGAGCCTGTGTGTGATCGTGAGGAGGCTGGCCCCAGGGCAGCCAGTCCCTTCCTGCCCAAAGTGCCTGTTAGCTCTCATAGCCCCCCTCATCCCCATTGGGCCTGACCCAGCAAGGCCACTCCAAAGCCCGCTCCCTGCCCTGCTGCCTTCCTCATCCCTCCCCCAAAGTGCCACTGCCCCCGCCCACTGCCCCCTGGTGACCCTTAGGCCCCAGGTGCTCTGCCCTGTGTAGCCCCTGGCCTACCCACTCCAGTGGCTAGCCCGCCCTGAGGTGCCCAGGGATGGGATGGCCGGGCTGGGGCGGTGCTGATGCTCATCCCCACCCCTCCCTACACAGGGTTGTGGGGTTTGCTGACCTGTGCTGATCTCCTTTCTTTCAGGGAGGAAGAAAGGGCTCGGTTTCGGGAGCTGCTGGCCAGTCCAGCCTACAGGGCCAGCCCCTTGCTGGCCATCGGGCAGCAGCTGGCCCAGCAGATGCAGCTGGACGGCGGCAGCCAGCTCTGACCTCTGATGCAGCCTGGAGACGTGCCGTGAGCTCAAGGATCCACCGCTTGCTGTCCTTGCCCTGAGCCTGGCAGGAGAGCCCACCGTGAGGCGTTGGGATGGGGGCAGTTCCTCTGTGCCCCCGCGGCCCCCTGGGCTTCCTTCCAGACTGCTCTTGGGTTTCTCTAGGCGGGCCACCACGCAGCAGGCTCTGGGGATGCCCAGCTCCTCTGCAACCCCAAGACGCGGTCATGGTGGGTTCTGTGGGCGCTTGCTGCCCTCCCGGTTCCCAGGGCTCCTGTCTGCCCTTCTTGGGTTGTGGTCCCTGTGCTCCTCCCCAACCCGCTCCCCACCGTGTGTCCCTTTGGCTCTGAGCCCAGGTTGCTCCCCACCTGCCCTTGTGATTGAGGTGAGCCGGGCTGCCGTGCTCTAGCAGTCCGGAGACTGGGAGCAGGCCTGGTCCCGCCCTGGAGTGAAACAGCTGACCCGGGAGCAGGATGGTGTCTACTGTTAGAAACCTGGGGCTTGGGGGCCAGACTGCAGGAATAGACTTCAACCCTAAGGGCCTGGGCTTGCCTGGGGAGTGGGAGTTGGGAGTGTGTGTTGTGTGGGGACTCACCGCCCATGTCCTGCGGGGTCAGTGGTGGTGGATGTGTGGCCTGGAGGCCTGGGCACCCACGGCAGCAGCTCTGGACCCAGTGAGCGCCCCGTCACTCTTGGGGCCGGGGCCAGGATACCCAGCACCCCTTCACAGGCTGTGGTGTGGGGGTGGGTACCAGTGTGTCCAGGCGCCAGGCACTCTAGGCTTTGTGGCTGAGCCGGCGTGAGCTCTAGGTATGTCCCTGACCTCTGGTGCCCTGGCTGGTGTGCTCGCGACTCATGGACACCTGGGCAGCGTCTACCAAGGCTATCCGGGCGTGGGTGGCTGAAGGGATCCGAGCCCATGCCCCGCCCCCATTGGGCATCCTGGGCCCCTTCTCTGCACAAGAGCACACGGTGTGGCCTTCTCCCAGGAATGGGACACAGAAAGGACAGATGGGACCACCGAGGCTGCAGGTGGGAGCCTGAGTCCCCTGGGCCGGAGGTCAGCACGGCCGTCTCGCCAGGACTGCCAGCCCGTAAGTGACGGTGCACTCTTGTCCTCAGCACAGAAACCAGTTCTCGATAAGGGAGATGAGTTGTTTACAAAGTGGTATTTGTGACAAACTCATTTTTGCAATAAATAAGTGCTGGGAGAAACTGGGGTACAGGCTGCCCGGAAGGTGATGCAGGGCCCTTGATGTTCCTTCGTCATGTTTTTCCGAATGAGTTTGGTGACAGTGAGTACAAGGCTGGTGCATGTCATCTGGAGGGAAAACGTACTTCCCGGCCTCCAGCGACTCCAGTGTGACCCCGGCCGGCCAGCTGGGCTCCCCTTGTGTCCCGGCTGCCCGGGAGCACGTGTGCTGTGGGAGAGGGAGGGGCTCCACAGGGGAGGGGCAGGCTGCTCTTGAGGCCTCAGATCTCACCCCAGGAGGGTCACCAGAGAAGCCTCAGACGTGTGGGGACCTCCGCCCCAGAGCAGAGTGCCGGGCCCCAGTGACAGCTTACAGGAGAGGCCGTCCCCTGGGTGTCCCCTGGCTGCGGCCGGACGCCTGCCGCTGAGCGGGCGTGTGTGTGGTTTCTGATGTGTGTACCATGGGCGTGGCTGCCTTGGTGGCAGGTGTACGTGGTGAAGTGGAACAGTTCCTGGTGTTGGTGCCTCTTAAACCCTGTGCACTCCTGCTGTGCAGGGGTGCGTGGGTCTGTGTCTCTGGCACCTGCCTGCAGGGTCACCTCTGAAGGTCCCCTGCCCCAGCCGGAAATCTTCAAGACCCCTTTTTAAAAGTACTCCAGCAACCCACGTGGATCCTCCTTCCCCATGAAACACCTCTCTCCTCCTCTTCCCTACTGGAGCCCCTGGTTGGTACGAATGCTGTCGCATTCTTTTGGTGGACGTGTGCATCGGTTATCAGCTGCCGTGGTACCTGTGTGACAGACATCCCCCAAACGTGCAGCCATGTGTTCTCCCCACAAGTCTGGGCCAGGCCGGACTCTTGCCTGAGGCACCCGCTGAATTTGTTTCTTGGGTAACAGATCAGCAGACGGGGTGACTTCAAACACTGGGAATGCATTCTGTCATGGAGTCTGGTCATGCTGGCAGGCCCACGCCGTCTCCGGAGGCCTCCAGACAGGGGCAGACAGGGGCAGTCCTGTTTGCCAGCCCCTCTCGTGTCCCCTGGCTGGTGGCTGCATCACTCCTGTCCCTCCCCCTGCCTCCTATGAGTCATTGGGTCAGGGCCCGCTCTCCTGCAGGACGACCTCCCCTTAATTAATTCCATTGCAAAGATCCTATTTCCAGGTACAGTTGCATTCTGAGGTTCCACATAGATGTGCATCTTGGGCGATGCCCTGGGTCTGGGGGGCGGTCGGGGCAGCGGGATCCTTGGAAGCCCCCAGGTGAACCGAAGATGCACATCCAGAGTCGGCTACCACTCGCCAAGTGGGGCGGGGAGGAGGTGAACTCGCCTACAGGGCAAAGCGCTGGGTGTTGGGAGGCTTCATGGGGTGGGACGTTGACACGGGCGAAGGACTGGAAGGCATGGGGCAGTCGTGGACAGCAGAGCACTGCACTGGGGCTTTGGGTGGTGGGCTGGGGTCCCCTCGTGGTGACGAGGGCCTCCTGGTGCCCCACCCCTTCCTGCGCTCCCCCAGACGGCACCCCAGCCCTTCTTTCTGGCACGTCTGCCCTTGTCCTGCCCGGTGTTAACATGTTCTCCAGGCTGGCTTGCTTCCCCTAGGACGGAAACGATTGAGGGCAGGGTGTGCTTTGTGCTGTTGGGGGGTCAGCAGCCCCACGTGGCAGTGAATGAATGAATGAACCAGAGGCAGGAAACAGTGGGCTGCGTGGGCCCAGGTGACCAAGCCCAGGGCCCAGGTGGGGTGGCCTCGTGTCTGCACGCGGTGTCCAGTGGGGAGAGGGTTCCTGGGGGTGCGGACTCAGGCGCCTGGAGGGGAGGAAGGAGTCGGTATGAACTCACAGCCCTCGGGGTCCATTCTGGTTCTGGGTGCGCCTGCAGGCCGTAGGTGTTCGAGGCCGGCTGGCAGGGCTGGCCCATGTTTGGGTTATTCTCTCAGGTGTCTGGGTCGTTGGGCTGATGATGGCTGCACCCTGTCTGTATGGAGCTTTGTCGACAGGGGCCTGGCTCTGGTGCCAGGCGGATGGTGACGCGTGAGCCTCATGCAGCCCCACAGCCTCAGCGTGCCGGCCTTCACGCGGACTCGGGCTCCCTTGCTGCTTCAGAGCCTTTGTCCTGGGCAGAGACGGGCATCAGTGCCGGGCAGCCTCAGCTGGGTGGTGAGTCAGGCACAGGCAGCCGTGCCTGTCGGTCCCGTGTTGCTTGGAAGTCCGGTGTCGTCCAGACTGCTCCTGGAATGCTCTTCGGGCGGCGGTCACACCAGTCCGTGACCGCTGCTTGGGCTGAGATGCTGGAGCCCAGCCCCCGCCTGGCCCCGGTGGGTCCTTGGCCACCACCCCATGACCCGGGCTCCAGGGTGCTATCACTGCGTGTCTCCAGGATATCGGGAGAGCCAGCCGGCTCCTGGAGATAGCAAGACGCCAGCCTTCCGGGCCTTTCTCTGATGTCCTGTTCCCGGGCCAGCTGGTCCCCTGCTTCTGGACCTGAGACCCTCGGCCTGCGTGGATGACTTCCTCTATTTTGAGGTCAAACAGACTCAATAAATTGCATTTTCTTCTAAAGGTGTTAAAATAACACGGGTTACAGTGGTAATTACAGACGTGTTCCTGATGTTGGCTTGTGTTTCTTAAGGCTTTGTTAAGATTGGGAAATGTTATTTTTCAGATTCTGGGGAAAAAATCAGTGATTACTCGTGTCTTTGAATTCACACGTCCTCTGGTGCCACAGAGGCTGCAGGGCCGTGGAGTCTGCGGGGCCTCCTGCCAGGCTGAAGCGTTTTCCCTTCCTGTTCTCCTGGGCTCTGCTGGCAGAGAGGGGGCCTGGGGGCTGGGCCTGCTGAGCCCTGGCTAGGACCTTCTCTGCAGCGGGGGAACCCAAGAGCCTGGAGAGGGGAGAGCCTCCCCACCCCCCGGGCTGGGGCTGGAGCTGGAGCTGGAGTATCTGGTGCTTTTCCTGCTGAGGCTGAGGTCCTCAGGAATGCAGAGCTTCCAGGTACCCCGGGACCCCCATGTATGCCCTGACCTCTGCCCTCTGCAGGTTCAGGTTCAGGTCAGTGCCTGAAGCCACAGTACAGGGTTGGGGTGTTCTTCTCCCTGCTTTGGTGCCCAGGGTTCTTGCACAGTGGTAATTATTCCAGCCTCCAGTCTCTTAAGTTGGGAGCAGATTCTAATTACATCACGGTGTGTAATTAGACAATCTATCCTGGTCAGCCCCCAGGCTCTGGGCGCCTGTGTGAACAGCCTTCCCTCTGCCTCCTGCAGACGCACGCCCCTGGGTCTGATGGCCAACCCACGTCCCCCCACCCGACAGGCTAATGTGCCCCATCCTCTGGCCTGCCACCTGGCAGGGTGCACCCTCCCCCCATTCCCAGGCAGCCTTTCTGCCCCAGTCTGTAGCTGGTCCTCACACCACACCCAGCACATCAGGAAAGCTCGTTCTGGTGGGGCAGGCAGGCACAGCTGTGTGCAGCCCGTAAACTCAGTGGGCGCCCTGGGCCCCACCAGGAGGTCTCTAGGGGAGGGGACAGTGGCAAGTGTGAGTTAGGAAGATGTCAGCTCCTGCCGGCTGAACTCCCGTCCCAAACCGACTGGTGGTGGAGGCCCTGGGTGGGTGGGTGAGAGGCACACGGGAGGTTGGCTTGGGGCTGACCCGGCATTACTGCAGAGCACCTTGGGGATGCCATCTGGTGGGAGGCCTGAGGAGAGGGGTGCGCTGGTCATCTGCCAGTTCGCTATAGTGCTTGTGACTGAAAACCCAAGTCGTGGGGGCTGATTATGTTGAAATGGGGTGGGTTGCCCCTCCCAGAATGAGAGCCTGGATGCAGGTTGCTGTCAGCAGCCCGGTCTCTTATTCCTTCTGTTGCTAAAGCAGCTGCTAGCACCCCAGCCATCACGTCCACATTCCAGGAGGGAAAAGGGGGAGGGCCAAGGGTGGGTGGTGGTTTCTGTTGCAGTAGGGCAGGGCAAGGCCTGGGCTTCCTCAGCAGAGCCGTCCACACCACTGTCCACCACGGCCCCCAGCGAGCCGGGTGGGTGTTGTATCTCAGCATCATGTGTGCAGTGAGAACTCTCGCCAGGTCCTCGGTACTGCTGACCCTGCTGCCAGGGGGTCTGAGCTGTCCTCTGACCTGGGGCCACGGTGAGCACTTTTGTCGATAACTGGACGCACAGCAGTGCAGAGGAAGGGCCAGTGGGGGGGGGGTGTGGCAGCAGGGTGATCAGGAAGGTGCCCCTGGACGCCTGACTCCTCGTCCCTGGGCCCAGGTCAGACGTCCAAAGGCAGGACGAGAAGGTGCCACCTGAGAAGGAGGTGGCCGGTGGTCCTGCGCTGGTCAGCCTGCACAGATCCCTCTGGCCCTTCAGATGGGGGCGAGGGATGGAGGGAGGCGCCCCGAGAACCAGTGGGAGGAGTACTGTGGGGTGCTCTGCAGGCAGGGAGGGGCCAGAGCTGCATCCAAGTAAATTCTGGGGCCCCAACCTGGGTTTGGGGGCAGCCAGGACCTGGGCCTTTTAACGGGGCGTCGGTGGTTTGCGGTCACGCTGCCTCTGCTTGCGTCTTGCCTGACGAGGAGACCTGTCCTGGCAGTGCAGCGGGACCTTCCTGGTGCCTGAGGCTGGTGGGTTGCTAGAGACCCAGCGGCCCTCAAGTCCCAGGCCTCGGCTCCGGCTTTACCTGGGGCGGGGGGGGGGGCGGCCGGACACGGCACAACTTGGCCACAGGGGCGGCCCTGCTGGGCTCAGGTGCTTGCGGACCAGGCCCCTGCCGACAGCGCCTGAGTTCGGGTAGGGGTTGTCCGGACGGATGCAGGGTCCAGGCCCCTGGTCTTCAGACACTCGCGTGTACCATGACGTCTCACACGGAGTAGCACAGTGTGGCTAAGTGCACGCACACGGGAATACACGGGTGTGGACGGACGTGGGTGTACACGCGTGGATAAATGCACATTCTGGGGAGGCCTGTAGGAATCCCTACCATGCTGCCGGGCTCCCGCACGCCTGGGACGCTCGCCTTACCCGCCCCAAGGCCCCGGCTGCCATGGTGGGACAGGCCTGGACAACACAGGAGGACTGCTACTGGAGGGGGGAGCGGAGGGCCGGAGCTGTCGGCTGCAGCCCCAGATCGTTGTCAGTGCCGCAGGGAGTGGCCGGCCCGCTGTCCCCCTCTCCCAGCGCCAAGGGACACCTTCTCTTGGAGCTGCCTGGAGCCTGAGGTGGCTGCCGTCCCTGACAGCACAGGCCTCGGGTGGGGACCATCTCTTGGCACCAAGGGCGGGCTAGGGCCCCACGGTGTGGATAGGCCCAACCCTGGGAGCAGGTGGGGCCCCCTCTTCCAGAAGAGCGCAGGGCTGCCTGGGGACACTCGGGGCTGCTTTGGGGACAGCTCAGCTGCAAGGCCTCTGGGTTTAGCGGTCAGCACTGCGGACTTAACCTGGGCTTGGCCAGAAGCCCTCAGAGGACCCTGTGACCCTGGTCCTGCTTGGTTGAGGGTCCTGACGAGTGCATGACCTTGGCTGGGGGTGAGGGGCAGTAACAGCGCTGACCCTTGGCCGTTCCCGCCCTAGGACGAGGTGCCCTAAACTCCTCGGTCAGTTATCCCCTGTGGGGGCGGGGCGCTGGTGAGTCAGATTTGGACAGGAGGCAGCACTGGGGCACGTCTTTTGACCCAGGAGATGCTGCTGCTGGCTGGGGTCACATCCTGTGGGGGGGCCAGGCGGGGGTGGGGAATAGACAGGACACTGGCCTGGGAGACCTGGGGAAGTCCTCACCCTAGCCCCACGCGGGGCCCGGCCGACCTCTGGAACACCTGGTCCCACTTGGAAGGACATAACTGCCGTGGGGCACACGCGTGGGACTGTGAGCGTGTGTGTGTGTGCGCGGACGGTATACGAGCTTGCAGGTGCAAACCCAGACATGCTCTGTAGGCGTTGGCGTTACGCGCATGACTTCCTATCAGAATGGGGCGAAAGCTCTCATTCCAATTCAGGAGCGCTCGTATCAAGAAGAGATGAATTTTACTGAATTCCTTCTTGGTTCCTGTTGAGAAAGTCATGTGTTTTGTTATTTTGTTATTATTTTTCCCGCTGGGGGGCGAATGGTGGGATTACTTTCCCTCATGCTGCTCGGCTTTGCATTCCTGGGGTCACGGGCTTGGCTCGGGTTGTGTTTTGGTTGCTGGGGTTTCCTGAGCGGGGGCTGCTGAGAGGGGCAGCTTGGGCATCGCCTTTGAAACCCGCGGGTCTCCAGGGAGCTTTCCACACGGTGTCTCTGAGCTGCCACCCTCTGGAGGGGGGAGGAGTGGCGGGGAGGAGGCAGATGTGCCTGCCTTTGCCCTGCATGGAGCCCGTGGATCCCCGAGGCGGGAGCCCACCTGCCCGCCGGGCTCCTACCAGCCCCATGCCCAGCCCCCAGGTGGAAGTCAGGACACAGGCCTCGTGCTGAAGCCCCGGTGTGTGTGTGGGGTGGCCGAGTGCAGCCTCCAGCCCCGCCTTCCTCCTGGGGAGGGAGCCCTGAGGTTCTGCAGAGGCCACTGTGGGCCCAGCGGGACCCCGGCCTGGCCTGCCCCACGGATGTCCTGTTCCCAGCATTCCAGAAGGAGCAGGTCACTGTGTGGCGGTCAGCACCTCTCTCTTGGGTCCTGCCGTGGGTCTTCCCCTCACAGTCCCTACCCAGACAGGGTCCGCCCTCCTCCCTGGCCCCTGAAGCCTGCGGGGGTCTCCTTGTCATCTGTGACAAAAACCCGCCGCATAAGGAACGTCTCCATTAGTCAGTCACATTCTCCTTCCCAGCCAGCTGCGCGGGGCCTCCCGGCCTGTCTGCGCCGAATAACTGGAAGGCACGGCCAGCCCCCGTGCCACCCTCGACCCTTCCCTTGGTCTTGACTGTAAACGCGCTCAAAGTGAGGTGTCCGCTCAGGAGTGGAGGGCTTGATCTCAGGGGATGTGGAAGGTGAGAGTCGTGGGGGACGGGCAGCCTCAGGAGGGGAGCCCGGAGGGGCCCACAGAGGACTGTGTGCCCACGGCCGCCTCCTGGGGAGGCCCAGGGACCCGGTGACCGATTTTCAGAAGCCTGGGCGCGTATTGACGGTGTTGGCTCTGCCAGGGGCGCTTGGGGCCAAGTGGCATCGGGTCCCCGATGTCAAGGCCGCCGGGGTGGGGAGACCCTGTCCTAACCCTGCCCCACCGTCCCCAGCTTGGGCCTGCACTCCCTCCCCTGGATTTGGGCACAGCCGTGGACTTGATCTGGCCTCGGGTGTGAGGGACACGTGCCACTTTGGGGGATGCTTCTGGAGTCCGCGCGAGGTGCACCGTGCTGGTGTGGTGACCGGCAGGGCTGCAGACCGTGGCCTGTCCGGCAGCCTGGGCTCCCACTGTGTGCACCACAGGGACCAGAGCTCCGGCCCACCCGCAGCGGGGTGGAAGCCACTGGCTATGTGGGAATGTTCCTTCCTGTGACGGACGCACCTGCTTTCTGGTTCCCACCGAGAAGACCGAGGAGTGAACAGAGAGCGCTACTCTGGCTCCTGAGGTCGGGAGCTGGTGCCCTGCCCAAGCCAGGCCAGAAACACCGGGAAGCGACAGGTGTCTGCAGCAACGAGCCGCACACCCTCCCGCG